AGGAGATGCATCAGAACTATTGGAGTCCGTATGTTTTCTTACTCCTAAACTTGGCGAGAAGGCTGATAACTGCTTGCCTCGTCGGTGATATCTGGCGTTCTTGTGGAAGACGATGGTATCGTCTTTTCTAGGAATTGGGCCTAATTCTCTAGAACGTACAAACGGTAAGTAATAGTTTGAAAACGCTAAGCTGAAATACAGCAAGAATCGGGCCAGAATGTGAAGTGGTCAAATGACAGCTTATTGGACAAGCATTTTATCGTGGATTTTTTTTGGAACCCTTCAAGTTGCTAGATGGAATTCTCCCTAAAAAATGCATGGTAGCTACAACTCGCGGAAATTTTTGGGACACAACAACGCTTAGCGAACTCCTCCTCTGTTTAGGAACGCATTAATAACTTTACCTGACAATGCTCACACTACCACACTCACAAAAGTGTAAATCGAAGACCATTATTTTCAACGCTGTGCTGCTATTGATTTTGAAACTTAATTGAGTGCAGGTTCTACAGTTGGTATCATCCTATCAGTTGCCATCTCGCGAGCGATGGTGACCGCGTTGCCATCACTGGTTGTTTTCTCCCTGAATCGATCATTAGCCGATCACCATTCGTAGAGCAAGGCATTCGGGGGCGGGCTCATCCTGCTCTCCTCACACCGCCTCGGACTGGTTGCCTGCCGATAGCTTTGAAGGCTCAATCTGTTTCTTCGCTGTAAGCTCATTCAATGGTGGAATTAGCCATTGAAATGAGTGCAGTATGGCGTTCCTCGTCCTATGTTTTCTTTCACTGAATGCTTCTTAGCACCTATAGTTTGATGCTTCAACAACATTATCGATACTCTATTATTGTGAGATGTGCCGCTAGAGGCCTTTATTCGCGCTCTCCATCGTGTATCATTCTCCGATAGCATTTAGAGCGGTTGCAGGTTCTATCGCATGATAGTACTCAAAACCGCCACTTGCTTACGTCAGCGATCATAGTGTTTACAGACTAAATTGTGATTGCGTGGTTTCTTAAAACCATACTGGTGCAGCTCCTTAAGCATATACCAACCCCAACTAACCAATTCTCATATGTTCCTGAAACATCTCCATGCACTGCGCCTAAATAGCGCTTGCGTTATGGAATCATATTGATGTAGAGAGTCCTCTGCACGAACCCAAAATGAACGGGCTGCGCGTGAGCGTAAGTTGGAGAACTCCTAACTCAGAAACAAGACCACCCATTAATCTGTATGAGGCTATCTTATGCAGCCAACTAATGGGTGCTATAGAGTAGTGAGCTCGTAACAACATCTTTAGTTGGGCGGGGAGGTACTACGAGCAGACAAGAGGCTTAGCAATGGGGCAACGGTTAGCGCCTACTTTGGCCATAGCCTTTATGTCCAAAATAGAAGCGCCCGCTTTAGAACACCGCCCCTTGCTCTACAGTCGCTATGTTGATGACTGCTTTGTGATCTGCTCCACACAGGAAGAGATGGACATGTGCTTCGAACTTCTCAACACACAGTCTGAGCACATTAAGCTGACACGGGAAAAACCATCCAAAAATTGGCTACTCTTTCTTAACATTCAAGATCCAGGGTGACTTTCTACGAAATTGTATAGGAAACCTAGCAACAAGAACATTATCATCCACTGCCAGTCCGCTCTCCCTCTGCAGACCAAGCGTGCTGTGGTGAGGATGTTGATATGTAAGGATGACCTTCCAAGAAAGACCATGGATGAGGAACACTCCGAAGTGGTCCTACTGCCGGCTTGCTGGTCTCAAAGATCGGACTGTCACGGTGATTGCCCCCTTGCGATTAGGTGATGGCCTGTAATGTACTCGAACTTCAGTAGGGTAGTGGAGACGTTTGGTCGGGTAGTCATAAATTGCTTCGATCCTTTCAGGCTCTGAAGAAGGCGATCCCGCCGAAACGTAAGCCAATAAAGGTGAATTGACAACCTCGTGTGGAGTCAATCAAGAAATCTTACAATTATCACAATGCCGAGGTTTATGGAGAGCCGTACATGGCGTTTACTGTTTACAGATTCTGTGGGATTTTTCAGATCCTGCTCACTAGGAATTGCTTTGAAGCTATAGCCATTCTTTTGCAGTCAGTAAGGTCAGGTCTGTGCAACACTTTATAACACTTGCTGTTCTGTGATGCTTGTGAAATGATTCTTTATCTCCATTTCTACACATATTTACTGTTTTTTGCGCTGGACGCAACTCTTGAGCTGCGTCATCCGATCAACTCGTGGAAACACACTTCATGGTGTTGGTGCTGTTAAATTACTCGCTTCACTTGTGTATTTCTTCAGATGACCACGACAGATGTTGGAATGTTTTTGTGCGGAGAGGGGGTGCCTCGTCTGTATGTGTTCAAATACCACGACTGCACCAAGGACCAACTTAGTTGTCTTAAATGATCAAGGGAGAGTTTAGAAAAGGGGAGAATTAAAGGATAAATCGACAAAGGGGGAATTTTCTGCTGCACGAATTGTCAGAAGGTGTCCTCCTTGGAACTCATCGTAGAAAGCACCGGAAATTCTGCACGGATGGACAGTGTTGAAGGCGTGGACGCTCTTGAGACGCTCTCGCAGAACCCACTGCTGCGAAGCTTATTATCCTGCGCTCGAACAGCCGTCATCCAGTTTGTCACAACCTTTACATGTTACCGACCAGAGCCGTCTCGACACAAATAAGGAGTAATTTCAGCGACTTGAAATGGTATGTGTTATGTATGTAAGGGAGCACCGGCAGATACGCCGTGCCCATACCGTATCCCCGGTACAGTAGGGGGGATGGCTCCGGTGTCCCCTGGCGGCCACTCCCGCATTGGGGGTCTATCAATAAGCACACGGACTGTAAATAAGCGTTCACTTCTGCAACTAAGATCAACAGGAAGGACGAGTGCATAGCGATT